GTTACAATATTTAGCTGCGAACATACAAGAAGACGATATATGTAATTTGGCAATTCATAGATAAATTATTCAGCTTTTATGGTTGTTTTACTCTACAGTTAGATGTTGATAAGTTGATATACAAAGAATTATTCAGCTTTTTTTTACTCAACAGATGTCGATAAGTGGATATGGGAGAAAAAATTATTCATATCTTTGGTTTTTTGACCTTTCCAAAAACCACATGTTGCAGAAATTTGACATCGAGAAGATTATGAAAATAGACTTTAAGCACAGCAAAATACAAAGCTTGTTTACAAAATGCTAAGGTCACGGGACCTGCTAAAAATAGCCGCACTTGCGTGATATCTGTTTGATCCGAGCCCTACAGGTGTCAGTGCACGTGATGGTGCGCATTCAAGTTGCATGTACGCACCAGCGGGACGTCACTCTAAGAACCGTGCTATAAATAAATATAAACATTAATGTAAGTAGGGAAGCTAATCTAATTATAATATTTACCTGTTGTATGGGCTGCATATGTCTGCGGTGTGCCCATGTTTTATTCGTGTAAGTCTAGCTGATATCTTGCAAACCATTAAAAAAAGACACGTATTAAAAAAAAACACCAACATTTCAGTAAGCTTTCCTTAACGTGAAAACAATATAAAAAACTGTAATTTAATCAAAATGAAAACAATATTACCTTTCACAATTTGTTATTGAAATTTAAACTAAAAATTAATGTTAAAGTACATCATAAGTAATTTTTGTATTGCGATTTAAATCAATAAAGCAAGAATTACAAAAATAGAACAGTAATTGAATATTTTTTTAGTCGTACAAAATTGAGGTTATGCGGTACCCGTATTCGCTGACATTTCACGAACATACGGTACACTGTTAACGTGTTTACAGAAGAAATAATCGCTTTAAGTAGAGATAATTAAGGCCCATAGAGTGACATTAGTCTTAGCCCTACCCACACAAACACATTCCACCCAGTCCACCAGCTCTCGAGTGCTATCAACACTTGTATTATTTCTACCGCCACTGGAATATCTTTTGGAGATTCCAGCCCACACTGACCAAGACCTTTGTGGTCCTATCGAAGAATGCCCTAGCCACTCAGGAAATATCAAGCGCCTGTTTATTTACCCTCCCCCACCGTGGGGAAGATCTTGAGACCAAACTATCGTAAACATCCCGGGGAGGGTTATCTACGGGGAACATGTCGGTCTTCTAAATGCCAGTCTAAGGAAGCATTGTCTTTGATTTACCTTCAGATCGGAGACAGCTTATTTGGTGTTATCCGCACTCGTCTCTTCAAGGTTTGCATGTCGGGGTGGGAAGTGTGAGTAGTTCTCTGTTGACCTTGTCAATACCATATACAAGTGTGAGTAGTTCTCTGTCGACTTGTCGTTACCACATACAAGTGTGAGTAGTTCTCTGTCGACCTTGTCGCTACCACATACAAGTGTGAGTAGTTCTCTGTCGACCTTGTCAATACCAGACAAAAGTGTGAGTAGTTCTCTGTCGACCTTGTCAATACCAGACAAAAGTGTGAGTAGTTCTCTATTATTAGCTGATGCAAGTGTGAGCAGTTCTCTGTCGACCTTGTCGCTACCACATACACGTGTGAGTAGTTCTCTGTCGACTTGTCGCTACCACATACAAGTGTGAGTAGTTCTCTGTTACTGCCAGATACAAGTGTGAGTAGTTGTCTGTTACTGCCAGATACTAGAGTGAGTAGATCTCTGTCGACTTGTCGCTACCAGACAGGAGGTCATTCTCTAAGTGACAATACATTAGAACTGTTGATGTCTTAAGTCAGATAAAAAAAGGATGGACTCTGGAACTATTTTGTCTTAATACTTAATTCCGTGAAACCTACCTGTTTTGTCTTTACCACCGATATTATCATTTAACCCAGAATTGGTTGCCGTACAACTTTGCAGAAGCCTATTTAAAAAAAAACGGGATGCCTCTCCGCTAGTAAAGTAGGAAGATTTGATGAAAGATATAGCTGATGAAAGATATGGTTGATGCAGGTTGGACGACTTTGATAGTTAATACATCTAATATTGTTCATATTTTAAAAGTATTTTACAATTCATATCTGGATCTAACTGTACTGAAGTCGTTTTGGTTTTCAATATTCTCACGTATTTCTGTTTTTGCCAGAAATGGTCGCGTGATCTACACCAGCCTCTCTCCCCCACCCCCAAGTCTCCCTTGACCTCTACCCCTAGCGTCCACGTCTACCCTGACCAACGTCAAAATTCCCTGCATGTTTTCTACCACCCAAAATGTCGGCTACGCTTTTGTACAATTTTTTTCTTCTCAATCCTAGTCCCCACACATTCTCTAAACCTCTGTATCTCTCAGCGTCTGATTCTTTGCTTTGTCGGACGCCGAAATTCTAAAAATGCTCACTTTCAGCCGGCAGAAATACAAACCACATTGTAGGTCGGATTGATTTCACTAGTGCAGACGATCAAACAATAGCGTGCCCTTTAGCCACGCGAGACAGCGCGCGCGTACCCTGAGAGCGAGAACACATGCAACAGTTGGGATCTTCTTACACATTTTATTTACACGATTTCCTTACATCTTTCTTTACACGCAGGAAGTAGAAACGTCGGCTGTAAAGCTGGGAATTCCCTGACGAAATCTAATGACGCAGAGGTTGACTTAAATGACTTTTGATATTAGCTGACTTAAGTTTTTTAAACCGGGATACAGATGGTTGCTCACGTGCAAGATTCTTGACTGCACTAAAATATTTTTGAAAAAATCACATGGGGTTGTACCCTTCTCATAAGGTGCTAAAATAAAACGTAACCGTTCTAGATTTTTGAACTGGTTAACACGGGTGGATAAGGTTTGTGGGGGGGGGGGGGGGGGGGAAACGAGTGGTTACGATACCTGACTACACTGTAGCTATTAATATTTAATATTATTAATATTAATTAATTATTATTATTAATTACTATTAATTTAATAATTATTAATAATTTATTAGGACTGTATTAAATTGTTATATCTATAATAAGTAATTCAGAGCATTAGAACTCCTGGGCCCTATGCCGTAGCCAAATCAGCCTTCTATTTCATCCGTCTCTGAAAATGTGCACCAAATGACACATCGGATAAATTTGTAATCGATATTAATTAAATAAAAAACTTATAAACCTCGATGGTTCTATATTGGGAATTCTATTTCTTCTTGAAAAATTTATTTTGGCATCAGGATTTAAAAGATTAGACCGATTAGCTAATTGGTTTATTTTACCTCGTTAGTTCCGCGATGAAGATTGCAATCAAGCAGGTATCAGTACTTTACAGGTGCCACGGTTATTTATTGTCTTGTGTTGAGACTATCGACACTGATTGCTAGGTCTGTTGGCTTTGACGTTGAGAACTTGCTAGAAGAGCCATGACAAAGAGCGTTGATGTAGTGCATTGACAATGGTATTTGCTGCTAAAGATGTAACCGTAGTGAAGTATACCATATAATACGCATAGAGATATACACGTCCAATAAATATAATTTACTATGCTACGGCTGACGAGGTTCGTTAGGAGCTAGGTGATAAAGTTTGACGGTAGTTGACGAAACTTGGCGAGCAAAGACGGAGGTTGACGGTATTTGACGAAGGTTGACGGTAGTTGACGACGGCTGAAGGTAGTTGACGAAAATTGGCGGGCGTTGACGAGATGTGACAAAAGTTAAGCGTTTGAAAGCAGGCTGAAATTGAGTCAACGGCCTATATGGCGCATAACAATTTAGCACGTAATACTTAACTGTGTTGGAGCGAATCCCCCCAAACACTAAAATTAAGATCGAAGAAGAAGAAGAAGAAGAAAAACAAGCGCTTACAAGGGTTGAGGGTAGTTGTTGAAGCTAACCAGGTTCCTAATTGGACAGATATCGACCTCCCTCATCCCCCTATGTATTTCAGATTTACCAGCGCTCTTTTAATCCCCGATGATGTATTACCGGTCTTCCGCCTATCAGATTAATGACCTCTAATTAGGTTGACCCCGTCAGTCTAAACCCCGGAAATTATTAGTCGGATTTTAAGGACACTTTCTGGTGTTTTTCTATGTTTCACATTTTTAGTGATCTAGTCATTAAATGACCTATACACACGGTCAGAAATAGTTAAGTCTTGAATTACCAGTGATCCAGTAATTTAGTGCCAACATACGCGGTCAGTAATAGTTAAGTGTTAAGTTACCCTCTCGAGAAGGTAATCAATTATCGTTATCTTTTTTTGACGAGAGTAGCTTCCCCTGGTTAATTAGCCTCCACTTGTGCATGCTGGTCTGCAGATATCCGGTGCTGAAGGCTCTCACAGTGGGTGGCTGGCATCTGTGGATCCCAGCCAGACAGCCAGACAGCTAGCCAGCCAGCCAGCTAGCCAGCCAGACCGCTGATGATATCAGGAACCACAGGCCTGGGTACTCATAACACGGGATCGTGTTACTATAAATAGACGGGTGTTGGATACACGGACGTGTGAGTGTGTGTGTGTGATTGTCTTTAACTTTAAGTAGAAAATAATTTAAATATTTCATGAAGATACAACGCTGCCATCAGCACATTAACGTGTGGTTAAATAAATTGTGCTTTTGTCAGAACAGAGCTTTAATAAATAATGTGCAATTAATTAGTAGATTGCTGGGATATAATTAAATGACCAGATAATCCCTGACCAAATCTCTTAGTTAAATAATAAAACATTATCTTTAACAAACTGGCATAGAATTTTCTAAAAATCGAGAACATTTTAAGGAAAAAAACCTACAAAAAAAATCTAACAAACAAAACAAACAAAAAAACAACACAGGGACAATTGTTCTTCAGTAAATTATTTAGAAAAACAAAAGGAAAATGTGCGCGTTAGTTGATTTAGTGGTAACAAGCTGCACACTAAACACAACACAACACAACACCACTAAACACAACACCCAACAGGGAGCAAGGGTTGAACTAATGGAGATAATGACAGAAGTTAATGGACTGGGTGATAGACAAAACATTGGGCTGCAGTATTCTGGTGGGAGTCATGGGGCAGAGGGCAGGGTGAGGTATTCACAGGGGGCAGAGGGCAGGGTGAGGTTTTCACAGGGGGCAGAGGGCAGAGTGAGGTATTCACAGGGGGCAGAGGGCAGAGTGAGGTATTCACAGGGGGCAGAGGGCAGGGTGAGGTTTTCACAGGGGGCAGAGGGCAGGGTGAGGTTTTCACAGGGGGCAGAGGGCAGGGTGAGGTTTTCACAGGGGGCAGAGGGCAGGGTGAGGTTTTCACAGGGGGCAGAGGGCAGAGTGAGGTATTCACAGGGGGCAGAGGGCAGGGTGAGGTTTTCACAGGGGGCAGAGGGCAGGGTGAGGTTTTCACAGGGGGCAGAGGGCAGGGTGAGGTTTTCACAGGGGGCAGAGGGCAGGGTGAGGTTTTCACAGGGGGCAGAGGGCAGGGTGAGGTTTTCACAGGGGGCAGAGGGCAGGGTGAGGTTTTCACAGGGGGCAGAGGGCAGGGTGAGGTTTTCACAGGAGACAGAGGGCAGGGTGAGGTTTTCACAGGGGGCAGAGGGTAGGGTGAGGTTTTCACAGGGGGCAGAGGGCAGGGTGAGGTTTTCACAGGGGGCAGAGGGCAGGGTGAGGTTTTCACAGGGGCAGAGGGCAGGGTAAGGTTTTCACAGGGGGCAGAGGGCAGGGTGAGGTTTTCATAGCGGGCAGAGGGCAGGGTGAGGTTTTCACAGGGGGCAGAGGGCAGGGTGAGGTTTTCACAGGGGGCAGAGGGCAGGGTGAGGTTTTTACAGCGGGCAGAGAGGGGACTGAGCAGGGGCAGAAAGCGTAGGGCGCTGGATATTGTGGGGAGCATTGTACAAAGATTGAGCGCAAGTGCAGAGGGGAATATTGGGCTGATGAAATCGATAGCCACCACAAAAATCTTATCTTTTGGGAATCACGAATTGTTTACAACAGACTCGAGCAGTTGGACCAGGTTTTGTGGGGACCCAAGATTTTAACGTGAGTTGGGACCAGGTTTTGTGGGGACCCAAGATTTTAACGTGAGTTGGGACCAGCTTTTCTGGGGACCCAAGATTTTAACGTGAGTTGGGACCAGGTTTTATGGAGACCCAAGATTTTAACGTGAGTTGTGGCCATTTTGTGGGGACCACAAAATTTCAACGTGAGTTGGGACCAGGTTTTGTGGGGACCCCAGAATTTCAACGTGAGTTGGGACCAGGTTTTGTGGGGACCCCAGAATTTCAACGTGAGTTTGGACCAGGTTTTGTGGGGACCCAAGATTTTAACGTGAGTTGGGACCAGCTTTTCTGGGGACCCAAGATTTTAACGTGAGTTGGGACCAGGTTTTGTGGCAACCCAAGATTTTAACGTGAGTTGGGACCAGCCCTTTCTGGGGACCCAAGATTTTAACGTGCTTATACTAGTTATACGGCATGTGTCATCTGAGTAGTTACCACTCAATTGTTTACAATATTATTGTACCTTCTATTCAAGATAGTTATTACAAAGTACTATCACTGAGTTCAATTCTGTAATTTATTTCCATCTACAAGATCTAATACGACAGAATCTGAAAATCAAAATATCTTAACTTCGCAGGCTATATTTGATTATACTCCCCATCCCCTCTCTCCCATCACTAAAACATTTCACCCTCCCCTCTCCCCTTCACTAAATATATCACCATCCTCTCTCCCCAATACTAAAACATCACACCATCCCCTCTCCCAAATACTAAAACATCACACCATCCCCTCTCCCCAATACTAAAACATCACACCATCCCCTCTCCCCAATACTAAAACATTGCACCATCCCCTCTCCCCAATACTAAAACATTGCACTATTCGTACATATTTACTCACCCCCAACTCCCATGTATAAAATACAATCAATCAATAAAATATTGTTTGGAAACCAAATCAATAAGAAGTGTTTAATCCCCTCCCACCACACACGATATAGTACGGTGATTGGTTTTTGAGGAAATATTTCAAAACCTTGGTGCCGGCAGTACAAATCAGGTCATAAGAAGAGAAAAAAATCGATGTTCATGCCAGGGTTCTGACCAAGAGAAGTTATTGACCCATATCTGGAGTTTTATGTCCACGGTGGAATCGTTTGTATGGTCGGATTTTCTTTTCTGGGACTACATTTCGCAATTTAAATAATGCGTTTTAACGTGTGAGCCGTCTTGAAGACTTGAAGTGAGCCGTGTTGAAGGAAGCCGCGGAGGGCCACTGATTGAGCCATCTTGAAGACCCACAGGGAGCCACTGATAGAGCCGTCTTGAAGGGAGTCATTTATTGAGCCGCTTTGAAGACCCATATGGAGCCACTGAAAGAGCCGTCTTGAAGAGTCAAAAGGAGCCACTGATAGAGCCGTCTTGAAGAGTCACAAGGAGCCACTGAAAGAGCCGTCTTGAAGAGTCACAAGGAGCCACTGAAAGAGCCGTCTTGAAGAGTCACAAGGAGCCACTGAAAGAGCCGTCTTGAAGAGTCACAAGGAGCCACTGAAAGAGCCGTCTTGAAGAGTCACAAGGAGCCACTGATAGAGCCGTCTTGAAGAGTCACAAGGAGCCACTGAAAGAGCCGTCTTGAAGAGTCACAAGGAGCCACTGAAAGAGCCGTCTTGAAGAGTCACAAGGAGCCACTGAAAGAGCCGTCTTGAAGAGTCACAAGGAGCCACTGATAGAGCCGTCTTGAAGGGAGTCATTTATTAAGCCGCTTTAAAGACCCATATGGAGCCACTGAAAGAGCCGTCTTGAAGAGTCACAGAGAGCCACTGATGGAGCTGTATTGAAGAGAGCCACAGGGAGCCACTGATGGAGCTGTATTGAAGAGAGCCACAGGGAGCCACTGATGGAGCTGTATTGAAGAGAGCCACAGGGAGCCACTGATGGAGCTGTATTAAAGAGAGCCATAGGGAGCCACTGATGGAGCTGTATTGAAGAGAGCCACAGGGAGCCACTGATGGAGCTGTATTGAAGAGAGCCACAGGGAGCCACTGATGGAGCTGTATTGAAGAGAGCCACAGGGAGCCACTGATGGAGCTGTATTAAAGAGAGCCATAGGGAGCCACTGATGGAGTTGTATTGAAGAGAGCCACAGGGAGCCACTGATGGAGCTGTATTGAAGAGAGCCAGAGCCACAGGGAGCCACTGATGGAGCTGTATTGAAGAGAGCCACAGGGAGCCACTGATGGAGCTGTATTGAAGAGAGCCACAGGGAGCCACTGATAGAGCCGTCTTGAAGAGCCACAGAGAGCCACTGATGGAGCTGTATTGAAGAGAGCCACAGGGAGCCACTGATGGAGCTGTATTGAAGAGAGCCACAGGGAGCCACTGATGGAGCTGTATTGAAGAGAGCCACAGGGAGCCACTGATGGAGCTGTATTGAAGAGAGCCACAGGGAGCCACTGATGGAGCTGTATTGAAGAGAGCCACAGGGAGCCACTGATAGAGCCGTCTTGAAGAGCCACAGAGAGCCACTGATGGAGCTGTATTGAAGAGAGCCACAGGGAGCCACTGATGGAGCTGTATTGAAGAGAGCCACAGGGAGCCACTGATGGAGCTGTATTGAAGAGAGCCACAGGGAGCCACTGATGGAGCTGTATTGAAGAGAGCCACAGGGAGCCACTGATGGAGCTGTATTGAAGAGAGCCACAGGGAGCCACTGATGGAGCTGTATTGAAGAGAGCCACAGGGAGCCACTGATGGAGCTGTATTGAAGAGAGCCACAGGGAGCCACTGATGGAGCTGTATTGAAGAGAGCCACAGGGAGCCACTGATGGAGCCGTCTTGAAGAGCCACAGAGAGCCACTGATGGAGCTGTATTGAAGAGAGCCACAGGGAGCCACTGATGGAGCTGTATTGAAGAGAGCCACAGGGAGCCACTGCTAGAGCCGTATTGAAGTGAGCCACATGGAGCCACTGACGAAGAGACCGACGAAGACGTTTTAAAGATTTCCCGTTTAGCGTGATTAAGGAAGCGACAGGACCCATTGTTTTGTGTTGAGCTAAAAACATTGAAAGGCTGGCCCCGGAAATTGTGGTCCAAATATAGACCTAAGCTACAAATAATTTACTAATACAGTTTTTGTACGATTTAATCTTCTTATATTGCTGGAAGCAGCTATTAAATATTTAACACAAGCGTCTACTTACCCAAATTGTTCACAAAAAAAAAAAAAAAAAAAAAAAACCTCTTTTAAATTAAAAAAAATATATAAATTACAAATTCAATTGGTTAAAAACCGAAAAGTTAATAAGAAAATAATGAGATGTTTAAATATTTGAGAGTGGGACTAAGTGTAGAGGAAGTAGACCACACGTTAGAACTAATGAAGTTTTCTAGAACTCATTAAAACGTTCAATGTGAAGGCAGGAGAACACGTGAAACAGGTGGCTCCGTGACGTTGTGATGTGCACTTTAACACCTAGCCGTACACGTGATACAATGTGAAGGCTTTTGTCATCTGCTGGCTGTCATCTGGAGGTGAAATGACATGTGTCATTCTGTCATGGGCGAGGCACATGCTTAGGGCATTGGAGTAAGTGACGGGGAAATCTGAAGGGCTACTGATTAAGGCATCGGGCTATGAGGGGGTAATGTAAAAGGGCTACTGTAAGACAGTGGGCTATGTGACGGGGTAATATAAACGAGCTACTGATTAAGGTATTGGGCTATAATAAGTAACGTAAAGGGGCTACTGATTAAGGCATTGGGCTATGTGGCGGGGTAATGTAAAGGGGCTACTGATAAAGATATTGCGTTTTATGAAGGGGCTTTGATTTATGCATTATGCTACGTGGCGTGTTTTCGAATTCTTTAGGAATTGTCGGTGCCAATGGTTACATCATTGAGCTGTAGAACGGGACACATCCTCACCTCACTTGCCTACACAGAGCAGCACCAACCTACATCATCGTGAGGATTACGTGAAACTCCCAGACACCCAGTATACCTGCAGTACTGAAGGTTTCAGGCACATCCTCACCACACTTGGCTACACAGAACAGCACCAGGATTACAGTGAAACTCCAAGATCCCCTGTATACCTGCAGTACTGAAAGGTTTCAGACACATCCTCACCACACTTGGCTACACGGATCAGCAACAACCGACATCATCGTGGTGTGAGCATTACGTGAAACTCCGAGATCCCCTGTATACCTGCAGTACTGAAAGTTTTCAGACACATCCTCACCACACTTGGCTACACAGAACAGCACCAGGTTTACATGAAACTCCGAGATCCCCTGTATACCTGCAGTACTGAAAGGTTTCCACACAACCTGCCAACACAAACACGGGTGCTCGGGTCTTAACTCCAAACAATTCGTGTAACTCGAGGCAGAAAAATTGTTTGATTAGCTATTAAAAGTTGCACTGCTCACAAAAGAACGCCTGATCCCACAGCTGTAAAAACACCCATAGTGTTTGAAAAATATTTTCAAGGTACGAAAGACATGATGAAAATGTTTTGTTCGCTTTAAATAAAACTTTATTGCAACAAACTGTATTATTATAACAAACACCCACAATGTGAAATAAACACTTTCAGAAATTATATTAACGTAATATATTTGCAACACAGAATCAAGAACAGAAGGGAGATAAAATCAATGATGTAAGTAGCTCTAATGTCAGTATCACATTGCGCCGATTTTCATTAATCCCCCTTCCCCTTCCCTTTCTGACACGATAGATCACATCCCACCGCCGTGGTAAGCTTTCATTTAGCTCCAGCTAACTAGCCAAATATCGATTTTCATACCGATCGTAATTTGCCGTCAGAGGAACCAGTAGATCTCCGCCCACAACTCATTCTATCTCCTTCTATCTGTGT